GGGTAAATTCGATGCCCTTGATCCCTAGTTACAAATGCTGAAAGAGGAAAAGAAAGGAAGAACATTGGAATGCTTGAAAAAAAAATCAGTATTAGCTAACAGCAGTCTCCAGGCTTGATTATAATGATAACACATGGAATTAGTAGAATTGATGGAGGCTGGACTTCTGCTCATTTCAGCTGTTATTCTGCTAATGTTCTACATTGCAGTATAACTAGGCATACTATGATGGCTTCAAACCTGAAAAGTATAAATACCAAAAAACTGACCTTAGTTGAGCATTTTCCTGTTCATCACTCTTCATCCGTAGCTGAAGTATCGCAGTAGCTGTCCATGCAGAGTAGCAGGTAATGTTGGAATTACAGGTCTCCTTAACATCCATATAAGATACAGGAAACTGCTTAAATGCTGTGTTGGTGTAATTGTATATTTGTATTCCTCAGAGGCAAGTTTCAGACATAAGACTCCTTGTATTCCAGGTTAACATATGTTTCTTCCCTTTGCATGGACATTCCAGCTTCTCATCTCAGGGAAACTTCCTGGGGTTGGTGTTGAGTGAGGAGGACTGAATTCATGGTTAAGGAGCAATAGGTACTACAAGCTCTCCACAGGAGTCAAAGGGTTTGCTGTGGTGTGCAGGGCAGAGGGGCCGCTGTAGTTGAAAGCATAGCTACTCTCTTCTACTGAGCACAGCTGGGGTGATCCCTTGAGCCTCAGTAGGGTTGAGGAGGTCTCAAAAGGGGCTGGCAAATGAAAGCCACTGTTATTGCTTCAGAATTGTAGCTATAAGATAGTCCTTCCATGGCATGCTGTTCTTCTTATTCCCTGTCAGAGATAGCAGTCACATGTGCCTTATTTTGCTGCATACTTCTTTTGAGCAATCTTGGCCTAACTGGGGATTTTGCTCTTGGTAGTCTGGAGGGACTCTGGGTTGGGACACTCCCTGACTCAGGAGGGATTGGCTTGTGGCTTTGGGTGATGGTGGACTGTATTTCAAGTGTAGCATCCAAATCCCAGCATTGCAGTGTGGGGCTGGGTTACAGTCCTATCAGGACTGTAAAAAAGCTAGCAAAGGCTGGTGGGGCTGGAACTACCAGAGCCCTTTGGTGCCATCCTCAGCCTGCCTCGTTCTGCTGGAAGCGACTCACTCTCCAAAGAGCCATTACTATTGCCTGCCTTTCAGCAGCTCCTGCAGCACCTCTCACCTTCAGCTCCCACCCCTTCAGAACTTCAGATTAGGATGGGGAAGAAAACACAAAACAGACTCCAGCACAGACTTAAAGTGTCCACTGGGATCAGGTTCACCAGTATGAGAATCAGTCATAGCTGGTTTTGAGATGTACCAAATGATAACTGCCTTTCTTTTGGCCAGTGCCCTGCAAGAGCAGAAGTCACTCCAAACAAAGATCTGGTCTGAAGGATGGTGCCTCCAACAAAACATCAGTTCTCTGACTCTGTCCTGTGGTTTAGGTAATGGATGTGGACTTGAAAATTTAAGATTGTGTCATGGCCAAGAAGGCTAGTAATTATCCAGTTCCAAAATTGTTTGAGCAATAAAAGGATTAATGAAGTTTTTAAAATCATAATTATGATCTATTCTGCAAATTGCTCTTAAAGCTTCCTTAATTCCCTTTCTGTTCTCTCTTTTTAACTTTCTTTTCTTTCCTTTGTGGTTTAGGAGCAATTTGCTCCTACACTTAAGTGTAAATGTCTGCTTATGACAGAGGGAAACTGCTGATCTGGCACACAGATTTCAGCAGTGGATGATTTTGATTCACTAGAGCTTGGAGCAATGATGACAGATGTTAGCTACTGCAACAGAGACACTGCATAAAGCTGCTCTGAAGCGGCCATACACTTGCTAATCAAATCACAGTGAAAGTGCTAAACTTCTGGCTCCTGAAGTGTATCAGGTTTGGTGCTAGACTTCTAATTGAATCACCAACTGACATTTTTTGCATTCTCTTGGGCCTTTTAAGGTACTGCGAGGTAAAAAGATTTTGTGGATTCCTTCTGGAAGGGAAAATAGACAGTGAATATTTCTATTTTGTATGGCCATGAGTAAGGCTAGGTAACCCTTATTTTCACGATGAGGCTTCATATGAACCTGAAAGATGTTTTTATGATGTTTAGTACATACACATGAAAGAATAGTGCATCAGAGTATTTATTGACATTTTTTGGTTTTAAGTATGTTCCAGATATATTTGCTTAGGCAGTATTCTGGGGTGCTGTCAGCTCAATCTCTGATGGACAGAGGCATCACACGCATACCCAGTGGTTATCAAAATTCTCAGTGTACTTGCCAACAAAATATACTACAGTGTACTGAACTATTATTATATTTTTGGTTCTAGGATATCTGGACTATCAACCACCCATATCTCCTGCCCTGCTTTGCATTGTTCTATTTCTTCCCTTCAGAGCTCTGGTCCCAGTGTAGTTTCTGTTGCAGCAGAGGAAAGCAGTGTTTCCGAAGCGCAGTGCTAGGTAGAAGGTTCAATGTCCCAGAGTACAGAGAGGTAACGCTAGCAGTTCTGCCTTTGCCAAAAAGTCACAACTCAGTAGCATCACTGCACATGGTGATGCCTCGGCACCTAAGAGCAGGTTCTCTGCACTGCTGGAGTTCTCCAGCACCACAGGTTTCCCCTCGGTCAAGTGTGGGCACATAATCATGTTTCTGTCAAATTAGCCAAGGCACGGGATGACGTTTGTGTCAGATTTATCCTTTTATGTTGGCTTTTTATGCTGGCACTGGGAGGAGAGATGGTATCTGACCTGGCAGAAAGTGTGAGTTGTAGAAGCACTGATACCTCATCTGGCATAAAACCTGTCAGTACAAAATTAAGTCATCATTTTTCTTTATTTGAATTGGCAGTGTGAGTTCATTCTGGATCAGCACTTTCATCATGTGTCTGGCAACATTTCTGACAGAGTATTAAGAACCCTAAAGCAGGATTTACTGAGTTGTGGGACCATAAACTTATTGTTTGAGCTTACTCTGATAAATGGGCAGGGAGCTACTGGGCGGCAGTTTTTACCAGGTTTCAGAATGCTACTACCCAGAGCACTTTTCTACTTAGGAACAATTTCCTCCTTCATGAAAAGAACACCCTCAAAATTCCTATGTAACTAATAAACCCCACCCCAACACAGAAAAATCCATGGATTAAAGGATCATATGTAACTTCTGACACACTGCTCCAAATGAAACCTTTTGTGTAAATGGAAAAAAGAATCCTTTTGTGGTGTAAAAAGTCAACAAAGCATAAATCACTATTTTGTTTGTTCTGTTGCTAGACATGCTGAACAAGAAACCACTGCCAGACCTGTGAAATTCTTCCATTAATCCTACTCGGGTGATTATGTCCAATACTCTTGGAACCATGAAAAAATGTTTAAACATATTTCTCTAAAACATAATATTTTCCTAGTTACAGTAAGCGCTAGCTAGAATACTTGACTTAAATCACTTTACATAACTTTTAGTGTTCTTATTTTCCAAAAATTATTTGAAAACTGAGTGGTTTAAAACCATAACATAGATTCCAAAGAAGACATTGGGTAAAAGTTTAGTCTTTCAATACTTCTGTTTGCTAATGAATCCTTGAAGTAAACAAGCACTCTTTTACCCAGTTTCTGCAAAGTACTTGCCTTTTGTTTCAGACCCAATACAGAATGAGGTAATGCCTGTATCTCCTAAGCCAGGAATGTATTCAGATTGGGCACTGAAACAGGATAGGAGGATAATACCTGCTATTTTATAAATTCAGGGTGAACTTCAGCTCAGCTTCCAGATTGCTGTACTCAGAGGAAAGAACTAGGACTGCTTATCTGAACACAAAAAATTGACTTCTTAGACCCTGACACAAAGCTTCACACTGGTGCCCTAAAATGCATTCAAAACACATTACGGTTACATAAATACATGTTTTAAATTAAGAGTGTCTTGTGACAAAATTGCATCAATTTAAGTGAGTCACTTAAACACTACCCTGTCTTCAACAAAAATATTGCTTTCAAATTCTCTCATTTAGAAGCAGGTGTTTTAACCTCAGGTTTCCTGAGGTAGAGGGTGAATAGACGCTGTTTCTGAGTGAGCTACAGAGATCCTCTGAAAATATAAATGAACACCTCTGCAGTGATCATAAAAACACAGATCTGTTTCACCAAAAAAAGCTCATCTGCATTCCTGACATGACATTAGAGAATAATCTTCTTTAGACATCAAAGTCAGACAAGCACAACTTTCAGAAGTACATTAAATAATATTTATTGAGTTTGCAATTTCAGGGGGAAAGCTATAATTTCAGTCCCAGCTATTCATATACTGTGACACAGAGCCCTCATGTTCTTTCATCCATTCAACAAATGAACAGTAACATGGAAAATAAAGAGGAGGGTTGAAAAAAACAACCCTATACTCTCAGTTTTGAAAAAAGGAAACAAACTGAAGCCCTGTTATTCACAAATACACTTGTCTTCTTGATTAAACATACTATGTTTTTATAGAAGAACAGACTCATCCTCCTGATGTTTGGGAGAAGGTATGGGATGGTTGATCTGAAAGAAAGCAAAACTATGTCAAACACAGAGCTTTTCCATATGACCACAATGAGAGCTAGATGGTTAATGCAGACTTCAGACTGCAAAGAATTTCTCACAAGAGGTAAGTACACTTTCCTCTTAGGAAGCCTTTTTGTCTGGGACTGATTCAGTGGGTGCATATAGTTAACAAACCACCAAGGTTTGCCTGTAAAATCTTATGGCATAGGATGTTTTTATTTTCACCATGGTGACCCTTCTGGATAGTAAAAAAAGGCATCACATAATATACAGAGATTCATATTTACAGAAATGGCAAAAGAGGGAACTGGATACAGTGACATTTCTGTCCAGGCATTAACAAAATCCCTTGTGTAGATTCAGGGACTGTTCACAGTTCCTTTAAGCGAGTCCTTTTCTCTGCACATAGGTTCTCTTGTTTTGCAAATGAGACCCAGCAGGATACCTCATTATAAGAAACAGATGCTTGCTCTCCCTTAAACCATGGTCATGACTTTCAGAGAGGCAGGTTGGAATCTCCTTATCTTCTTCTTTAGTGCCTTTGAAGCTTTGATGCGACAGATTTTGGGCACAGGGGGAAGAGGCTTGGAAGAGGCCTGGACAGTCCCTGATTGTCTGACTGAACCTTCAGGCCAAATCAGTTCACTTTCATCCCCCTCATCGTAGTCAAGGGCAAGACTGCTACTGTTACTGCTGCCATCCAAATCGCTTTCACTGGACTCACTGTCCCCAAAACGGTTAGTTGTGAAATCGCTGACCTCCCCTTCGCTGGTCTCTGCGATTGTAGAGTGAAAGAGGGAAGCGCACTCTGCAGAGTACTCTGAGTGGTCTGACTCGCTTTTGGCATAATCTCCGTGGCGCTGACTCTTGGAGCGAGCCCTCATACTGACAGTGCGCAGGACACCGGCTCTCCTTGCTGGCTGCCTTGGCGCTCCCAGGCCAAAGCTATGAGACACGCTGGCCAGGTTGGCCTTGGCAGAGATCTCCACTGTGGACTGCCACTTGCGCTGCTTCTTCTTGTTGGCTGTGTCTACACAAGCTGCTTCGAGGGAATGCAGTGCACTGGCAGAGGCTCCGTAGAGCTCTGGCCTGGATGACACGGTGGGGAGCCTGACTTGCACAGGGAACAGACTAGATTCTGAGCATGACCTGCCAGTCACGTCACCAGAATAAGAAGGTCTCCGCACGAGATTCTTCACTCCTTGTGGCCTTTGGGGCTGATTCCACTCAGCAGGCAGCCTGGTGGCCCCATGGGACCCTCTTGCCTTCTCCACGCAGAAGGCTTGCTTCCCAGGCCGTAGCACCTTTTCACTGTTCCTTCTCTTTATCTTCACTGCCTTTGTTTTGGAGCTGGCAAACTTTACCCGGACTTGGTGGGATTCTGCAGGGACAAACTGAGCATGAACAAACTCAGTTCCTGCCACTCGCTCATGACCCCCAGTGCTAGTCGATTTGGCATTGTCATACCTTTTGAGGGGCAGCTTTCTGGGTGGGACAGCTTTAGCATTCCAGGTCTCTGGGCTAGAGTCCTCCTGGCACAGCTGTGAGTATGATGAACTGTGCTCTATGCTGCTATCCATTGCTTCTGCCAGAGAAGAACCCCTTGCTGCTGATTTGGCAGGGTAACAACTATTCACAGCTGATGGCTCTGTATCAGGCCGAGTGAATGGTTGTTCTTCATTCACACAGCGCATGGTCTCATGCTGCTTGGCACATTCCCCCTCTGACACCTCTCTCGACAGCTTCCCTTCAGCTTTGTTACTTTCCAGAGAACTCGCCTGTTTTTCCAGCTGGCTACTGCTGCTGTTAATTTTCACTCCGCCGGCGCTGGGGGTTATAATGAGTCTCTGGTGCACTGCGGCTGGTTGGTTCTTTGTTGGAACCCATTCACTGGCATCAGCCTGACTGTTCCCTTTGCATCTCGTCAGCTGCAGTAATTTATTGATGTAACCCCCTGGCTTGGCCTCAGTGGTTGGCCGAGTCCTAATCAAGCTGGGACCTGTCACACTAGGCATAGGTTTGTTGGGAGCCTGGAAGTCCAGTTCTGGGGATGTGCCCACCAGGGAGAAAAGGGGACTTTGTAAAGCCACAGCATGAAGGGGGCTTGGGTAAGGATACACATCAATGCCATTCTTGGAGACCAAGTCATTCTGGAATTTGGGGTCCACGCTGAGCAAGTGTACGTCTCCGTTACGGCACAGAGGCAATATGGATTTGGGATCCGTCTCTTTCTGAAATCTAGCATCTGCTGGAGTGAGTCTTTCCAAGTCACCTACACGGTGGATGAAAATAAACAACCTAATTAAATCACAGACAATTACATTCAAACTGGCTCATGCTAAAAGTGCTATCTCAGGAATGTGATGGCTTTTACTAAAATCAGTAGCATGAATAAAGAAAGTAATTTCAGTCTTCCAAGGTCAGTGAATTACTTTAAAGCTTTTATTCACCTAAGCATAACAGAGATTAGAACGCCTTTTAATGCCAATAATAAAACTGTCACCTTTGCGAGAAATTTAAACTGTGCTACTTGGATGAAAGTAAATCTGTGCATATATAAAAATGTTCTAAAATATCACACATAACGGGAACCCAACTAAACAAAAATAAGGGATTACTTTTATTTCTTAGCAGAGAAGTCATAGAAGAATGAATTAAAGAACCTTTACTTTGACAGAGGAAAAAAAATCTAAGGTTAACTACTCAGGAAGGTGGAAAGAGCAGTCCCTGAAGATGACATTTATGGCCACCAATTCAGATCTCTTCAATTCTGGAGTACTGTTAAGGTTGCTCTAAGTTACTCTTGACTGCTGCACCTGCACCTTTCCCTCAGAAGCATTCCCTGTGCACATAGAGGAAAGGCTGTGTTTTTGTGTGAAGAAAGGTTATTCCATTCCAATGCATCATCCAATAGAGCATTATGATGCTGTGTTACCTCTGGGACTAAGTATACTGTAATCAGTTATCTTGGATTTTTCTGTACAACAATGCAGACTTCAGTGCCAACAAATCCTCACCTAACCATTTTCCTGGCTGCTTCATGCTAACATGAAACCCAACCATCAAACTCAACCATGTAATTCCCAAACAGTGGCTATTTATGTCCTGTGACAGGACGCTTTGGAAAGACTCCAAAATTTGGGGTTGTCTGCAGTGTCCTACCTGAGGCACTCACAGACCTGCTACAGAAAAGATTAGGAAGACTGTTTCTCAAACAACTTAATTTCATAATGACAATTCTTTAGGAAATTGTTGGCAGCATGGTGCTCTCTCATACAAACAAACCAGGAAGCTGTCAGAAGAAAGCTGTGCTTGTGGTGTCTCAGCAAGCCTTCTGCTTGCCACTGAAACAAACAGTAGTTGGTTTGTACCTGCAGTTACCTGTGGGGACAAGCTAAGGAGTGGAAAAGAGAAATTTCCTCCCCTCTCCAAATGATGATTTTCTGAAGTAACATCTTGCTTCACTTCTTGCAGTGTGGTCAACTGTGTAAGAATTGTTTTTTCAAGACTACACTCACTACTACCCCACTACTTATGTTTCTCATATGGAAGGAAGTAAGAGGTTGTAGCCAGGAAGAAGGGAGATGGTGGTGGAAAAAGAAAGGATGTCTGAAGGAGGTCTGTAGCCCCTCTCCCACAACCCTCAATATCAACTATTCCTTTTTTTGCTAGTCTATTTCTAGATCCAAAAATCCATAAAGTCCCTGGGGTCTCAGCAAAATGTTGCAAGGCAGGAAAGTTTCTGATTGAGCAAAAGATCTGTAATCTGAAAGTGGAAGTCATGGATCATTAAGCTCAACTTAATCCCCAGCCTTTGACAAGCCTTGAGAAGACTTTGCTTTTATGCTATAATTTACCGCCATCTCTTCAGGTGTGTCTGCACACATAGGTATAGAACAGGTCTTTGTTTCTATTCCAAGCAAGCCAGAGGTGAGTTAGCTCACATCAAATAGTTGTGGGAATGATTCCAGAGTGGCATGGTACTTGGAATGATGTTCCCTATGGCTTGTCTGTTTCTATAATGGAACTGTCATACATCTCACTGGATCACTATAAGAATTGTACTAACAAAAGATTGCTTTGAGGCCATGGAAGAATCCATAATAAGAAGTGATATGATGTCACTTCACAGATGGTAAACAAGAGATTTGGAATGTTAATGGACTTGTACATTTTGTCTAAAGGTATGATGCAAACTCACGGTTGATCCACTATTAGGCTCATGACTGCTTTCTAGAGAATTAACTTTTGGCCTCTGTTGTCCCTAACTGTACACAATAAATTATGAAAAAGAGTTATTGTTTGAGTCCACATTAATTAGAATAAATAGGAAATTTTGAGTTCACTTTAGATCTTTTTCATACATTCCTCCACCTTCACACAAGGTATTTCAAATACTGAAAATTTTCTGATTTCACATACAGGTCAATTAAAAAAAATATCTCAACATTCATTACAATTTTATCTCATACACTAAAGTATTTTTCCATTTCTAAATGCAGAGGCCTCACATTTGTTCTTGTTTCATCCATGTATTTGTTACTGTTTCACCCTTGTATTTGATATTGTTTAAAAATATCTGAGTATGGAGACAAGTGAAAATTGGACAGTAAACCGTTTGGCTCTGTGGTTTTGATCAATTCTCGTGTATTGAAAAGGAGAGTTATATATTGACTAAACATTGGCATACAAGGTCCTAAAAGGAATAACCAGGAATCTGCTCTTCTCTTGAATGAAGTATCCAGTTCTGCCATCAATTACCTGTGGAAACTGGCCTTGGTCTGGACCTGGCAGGAGCTGCAGAAACATCTCTGCTAGCTGTAATCTGACATCCATCACTGACATAGGTCCCCTGCTGTTGGAAGCTGGTGGTGTGCACAGTAGTTTCATCTGCAGACTTGGGTCGGTAATCAAACACACTGAGCCTTGCTTTAGGGTGTTGAGAGCTGGGCAAGAGACTGGTGTGGGAGGAGGAGATGGATTCACTGTACACAGAGGTACAGGAATTGGATAGTGAGCAAGAACCACCGTCGCTCAGGTCATAGAATCCTGCAGAGTTAAAATAAATAGGATATTTCATACTTACAGCAACTAAACATGCTCTGTAGAAGAAAAATGCAGAGAATACAATAAATCTTCATTTGCTATGTGCCACAAGCCTAAATTTATGATCATTTATTTAGGTAACATTAGCAGAGGTATACTGTAATTCAACCAAACTTTACAGGGCTTCTGCATATTTACTTAGGCCCTGAGCCAGCTTGGCACACACATGCCTGCTTAGTTCTGAGGGTGGGATGGCGTGAAGTGTAGCACCATCACGCCCAGTTCTTCACTGGAGAACGTCTTTGGGGACTATTATGCAACTGGTGTAAAATAGGGCTGTCTTACACTGTTGTAACTTGTGCTGGGTGAATAGAAACACATATTGGATGGGAAAGTAGAGTAAAACTAGCCTGTGACCAGAGCTGCCAAGCCTATGATAGATGGAATGTCTAAGAGCAGAGAATGGAAGCTATCTTCCCTCTCCAGGTCTTGAGATCATTGCCAAGTAATTATGGAAGTATTAAAAAAGGCTCTGTATAAATTCAAGACAGGAATTTTTATTATTCCTCTCTATAACAGAAAAGAAGCTGTTTCCTTTTGAACTGTGTGCATGTGCCTAAGTGCACAAATCCTGAACTTAAATGCTCAACAGAAACTCGCATGTTTTATGTCCCCTTTAAGTACTAGGCTGCAAATCTGTATGATGTATAAAAAGAAAATAAATCTTTCCTTGTCTTACTGAAGACTTGAGGCTTTCCAAAATTCTGTTTATAAAGAACTACTCTCATTGTCTCAGACTAGATAACAGAAACCGGTTTTAACAGACACCCTAGCTATGAAAGTCTGCAGTACAACTCTCTGTGAATCACACCAGTAACCTAATACCCAGTATTTTTCTGTTTGTGAGATCTTTACTCAGCAAACTTTTGAGGTGTTTTTCCTCAGTGTCTTTTAATAGAGCTGTTTTGTTTCTACATAAATGATCAAACATTCATTTGGCTGGAGCACTCCAATACTAGTGATCTTCAAAGCCTTAGTGAGGCTCAGAACCCTCCTGGATTCAAGCAGAGCACTGATATGGATGTTGGTTTCCTTCACTTCTTTTAAGTACTCTAGCCACTTTGCCAATGGTCATTCTACACTGGATAGTTAATTTACGTAATTAATAACTAAGGTATATAATAATATAAGGTAATAAATAATGAAGGTAATTAATAAGTACATGTCTCTTCCTCCTTCCATGTGTGGCTACAAGGTTAATTTTAAAATAAAATTAAAAAAATCCAGAAAAAATACTGCTTGAGTGAACGAATGCTTTCCACTAAATCAGCTTCTCAGCAGAATTCCTATCAGCTCTGTGAGTTAGCTCTGTGCCAGATGACTACTCTCTACCTCAGCCATGGGACACTGTTTCTGACCAAACAATACAGGGAGTTTTGCTTAGCAGTTGACACTCTTCAGTTCTCCCAGCACCACACCCCATGAAATAAATAGCCAAGTGCATATTACCTGAGCTGGGCCGGCTGTCACTATCCAAGTATTCACTGGAGGTCTTACTGACATCCAATTTCAGCTCACTTATTCGCTGGTCTAGCTGATCCAGGTGGCTTTTCAAGCCGACATCCTGTCTCCTCAAACGAGACTAAATCACAAGTCGAGGGAAGAAGGAGGAAATGAAGAATAATCACAGTCAGAATCTCAGCAACAATGCGTGAATTCAGGCCACCTGTGCCAGCCAGATTCTGCTCTCATTAAGTGTTTTGCTTAGTTAGGGACTGTTGCAATTGGCTCTCTGTAATGACACTGACATAAGACAAGGACAAAACATTTTGTTTCTCAGTATATATTGTCTTCTGCCCAGCTGAACATGTTCTCAAATTTTAAGCTTTGGGTTTATTATTACACTTATGGCAGGAACTCTATCTCTAAAGAGAATAGCAATCTTTTAACTAATTAACATTTTCTTATATGTACTGCACTCTGCCTCTGAGCAGAGGAAGAGACAAACATTATGGATTGTCTGCCTGATGAAAGCAAACTGCTGTATGTAGAGGTACCTTATTGCCACACAAAGCAGCATACTCAATGCAGTAAAACCCTTGGCTTTGATGACGTGTTTATAGTTGAAAGGATACACTGCAAGAATTGTGACATCTATTTTGCTGCAAGTTTTCCTTGCATGTCTTGTGGCTAGATATTTCCACCCATTTCATGCAAGAAGCAGCTAGCATTTGAATACTGATGGGAAAATCACTGTATTTAAAATAAAAGGTGTCTCAAGTTTGTCAATAATCTTTCAGAAGCCAGCAACAATGTCTGTCGTCTACTGCAAGCAATGACCAGGCTGATCTGAGGTAACAGCTCCCACAGTTGCTCCCCCAGTATTTGTGCCGTCAGCTTGGAGAGGCAGATGGCCAGGCGTTAGGTACCAGCCAAAGAACCACAGTTGGTTTCTGTGACAAACTTCTCACATAGCACTTGGCAAATTATCTAAAGCTCAGTCACTATTTAGGCAGCTTCTAATTATATTTCACCTCACCATGCATCCTACAGTACTTTACAGTAAGGTTATACAGAAAGGTGGTCTCTTGAAGCTGGTTGAAAAGTTGTGCTCAAAGCCCTTGAGGGTATGGGTTTCCACTCAGTAATTGCAAGAAAAACGTGATTAAGATTCTTCTTTATGTGTACAGCTCACATTTAAAAATACAAGTGGCAGCTCTAGCAGTATTTCCAACCTCAAATATGAAAACCAAAAAATCTAGGTCTCTAGAACCAATTAAAGTATCTGCAAAATTAAATGATGTGCAGAAAATCAAAATCAGTATGTACACATTTTCAACTTCACTTTCCTTTCTTACGGATTATTCAGCTTTTAATATTTGCATTTTTAGGTTTCTCCATAGCTATAAATACTAAAAGAAAAGAAAGATCCTAAGATCCTAAAGTAATCAGTATAAATGATTAGGAACTGTGATGGAAGGAAAACAGAAAAAACAGACAAAAGACAGATGTCCCAAGTTTTACAAAACAACTGTTAGGGCTGGTGATGCTGCTGAGAAGAAAAAAAAAAGGTATTCTATTATGCTTTTACAGACAGCTGGAGGAATATATAAGATACAAGAAACAAAGCCTCTTTTTGTTAGCATCACACTTCTAGAAAGGTTTAAGCTCAAGTGGCTCATCACTGCTTCCTAGGAAAACCCATGGTGATTTTCCCTTTTCCTGTTTCATATAACCAAAAGGAAGAGAATTGGATAATAAAGGAGGTTTTCTATCCCATCTGAATGATGAATGTATGACCTTGTCAGTACTTCTTTATTTCCTGACAAAAAAGCAAAACCATGCCATGCCTTCTTCAATCCCACCTACTCAGGAAATCACAAAGTTTTGTTTTCATGGCTGGAATTAATTGCTTAATGATTAATGTTTTGCCAGCCAATCCCTCAGCCTGTGGTTTCTGATTAATGACAGAGAGGCCACAAGGCTCTCAGGTATTCAAACATTATTTATTATACCTCTAGGTTCTGTCTGCGCTTTCACAGCATTTTAACCAACACACATGATTTACATCATCGTTTTTAACTCTTTTATGGTGTCTCACACCATTGGGTTTCCAGCAGACTCCATAGCTTTGATCTTTCAGCTAACTACTTCTGCACTCAGAGAGGAGAAGCATTCCTCTAACCATTTGGATAAGAATGACTTTTCCGGTGTGTTTGTTTGAGGCTGTTATTGCTCCAATACCCATGTTAAGCAGCACTCAAAAACTCACTCTTTCTCAACTCACAACATGAATTTTACAAGTGACAAAACCTCACAGGTAAAACCATCTGTTTGTGTTGGGCAATGCAGCTGTGAAGACTTTTGTACACTGCACAGCGTCGGACAAAACTTTCCAAAACAACTTGTACTATGAATGGACTACAGTTTTGGGTAGCCAAATCTGGCATATCACCATACCACACATTTTTCAGAATAAAGAACACTCTCTGAAAAGCAGGTTCCTTTACAGCAACACAAGCTGACACCTCAAATTAAGGCACCAAAACCCACTGGTCATACTTGACTATTCTCAACTATTAATGTGTTATAAAGGGGTGTGTGTGTGACACTTATTGTTTGTAGTTAGCACCTGATAGTTCTATTAATCTGACTGTATTTTGGAATGCACAAAACATAGAATTCTTACCTGGTTTTGCCCATCTAAAAAACCTTTGGGTCTTTTTGTAACTGATGGTGCAAAGCAGCCAATTTCAGAGGAAAATTAATATCACCTATCCTAGACCTGTATTCTAGAGTGTGCTGAATTCCTTCTGGAAGCATCTCTTTCTCTCAAGTTGACAAAACTTGAAGATAGTTTATTAAAAAAAGATACTATCTCTGGTTTAAAAGATGTCTTCTCCTATTTAAAATTATGTAAAGGGGAAAGAAGTTCTGTGTAAAATGCTGGGCATCAAGTGTTTGGTTTTTTCTCTTCAATATAATGTGTCCCTTCTCACATTTTTATAACATCATAAATCATCTGAAAGCTTGCAAAAACAAAATCATCAGATTCAAATCAAATAAATGGTTTATAAACATGTCCTCTGAGGAAAGAGCCGAGAAAATACTGGGTGTTGTAGCCTTTGATACCCACCTATTTGAACAGTGATCATAGATTTCTTTCTTTGCATGAGCCTGAATTTGCATCTCTTCTTTTTCCTCTATATCACCATGATACTGTTTGGCTAAGAGAAGTTTAGTAGCTTTGGGATCTCTGGCGGTGGGCAGCATCACTTAACTCTGCTCCTCTTCTACTACAGAGTTGACCCTGCAGGCACTGTAGTAATTTGCAGCTGCCAGAAGAGACCCTGGCCACCAAAAAGAGCCACTGGCTGGGGCAACACAGGATGTGACTGTTAGGGGCAGCAGACTGCCTACATCAGAATGTCGGCTGCTAGAGTACAGGCCAGCTGCTGTCTGTCTCTGGTAAATGCTGTTAGGGAGAAGACTGGGATTCTGGAATGGCATCTGCACCTGGTCCCCACGGCACTTGATGGCTTTGTTCTGCTTGTTTCCACTACTGGGACTTGAGTCCTTGAGGGTACTGACTCTGCTCTTCTGTTTCTTACCCTACCATTATAGAAGCCTGGCTTGACTTTTTATCTGCCTTCTTTCCATCACTGAGATGCCCTGAGCCAGCTCCAGCTGACACAGCTTCCCGATTTTATGTTGCAAGGACCAAACTTTTTATGAATTAACCCAGGACCATGCTAAAGCCCAGAGCTACAGCCCTCCTTAAAACTTGGATCAAGATACACTGCAAGGCAAAGCTACATTTACATTGTTAATGAGTTTCTCAATCTGAAAGCTTACAGAGCAGCAATCACATACTCTATCATCCATGGGCCAACAACAACAAAGACATAACACTCCTTGAGAAATGCTGTGCTTTGCATTTTCTGTTGTTTTCAGTTTTAACCTAATTTCCTGCAATCATGAACAGAATTTTCATGGGTTTTGAGTGCAATACACTGCTTACGAGTCACCAAGAAAGTTTTCCACCTGTGGTCGCTGAGATCCTAGGACCTGTGGACTACTTCTAACGGGACTGTGAAAAGCCTGTTTTCAACTGGGTTTACTTTGCTATTAAGCATCTTTGAGGTCTGCACCTCTACTCAAATATATGTCTGCAGTTTGCAGGGGGAAAAAAACAATAAAGGTAACAAGTACGCCTGAGCAGCACAGTCTGAAAAGCTTCCAGAGCCATGGGTCAATTAGAAGAGCTTTATATCACTACTTTAAGCATTCACAGAACTCTGTTTTTGCTGAAGAACCTACCCCTGGATTTATGTAGTCATCCCTCTCAAGCTTTATGAACACCTCCCTTCCAGGCACCCTAAGAAACATGTTTCCCATAATTGCACTGGCACCTACTGGTGAAATCCATTCCTCTCCAGAGGTGTACAGAGTTACTTTTGTCCATTCAACTCCCACATTTCTAAGGGAAGCAATTAAAGGCTGGTTTTTCCTTCTGTTTTAACGGCTAGTTTCTCCCATGCACTTGGAAAACCTTAAAAGGCGGCAGTAAGGTCCTGAAAAGCCAACCTTCAATTTAATATTATATTTGAAAAATATATAAACAAATGAGTAATTAAAGCACAACAGCTGACATGAAAAAAGTACAGTCACTACGGTCAGAGGTCATTGGGTGATTCTGTTACTCCAGAAGCCCCAGACAGGCAATAAATGCCTTCAATTCTTTTGTTTAGTTAAAAAAAAAAAAGAAGAAAAAATGTAGAGTCATTTCTTAAAATTATCAATGACAGGTAATCAAGCGGCTGACCGTCCACTTGTCCTGTGTCTTCTTAATCAAGATATGCCTGCTGCCGTGTTTTCACAGAGTGGTGGCTAGGTTTCCCTAAAGGTTAAAGCCAGTTTTATTCTGAGATGCTGCCTGATAAAGATGCCTATGGGGAGCGAATAACCACGCTGTTTTCACACCTGATTGATAACTGATGGTCGAGCCTTCCACTAGTACAGGAAAGGAAAAAATTCTGAATTAAGTCTGAGTTTACTGAAGTGTGTAATTGCCCACACTGGAGATTAACGCCCTTTACCCTTTGATTGTTGTCTCACCTATGAAACTCGTTTCAGCTTCAATTCAGATTTTCAGTTTCACAAAATGAGCTGTGCAAGCTGCCAACGTAACGCTTTAAATACAAGGCCTGGCATTCAGTTATTCTTCCCTTTTGATCACGCAATCCGTAGAAAGAACAAAGTGCTCCCAGCCCATGAAGCCTTTCCTGGCGGATCGACTCCCACGGGCGCACACCCGCGCGGGCACACATAGGTGTGCGCGCACACGCCCACCCGAACCCCCGGGCGCTTAGTCTGTGCATGTGTATCTCCCTCCGTGTGCCTTTTGATCTCCTATGCAAACGGCTGCTGCCACTGAGAGCCGAGCGCTGTACTGCTGAAGTTAATCATCACCTACTCCTCGGCTCCGGTGAATGAGCGGTGCCGGATTAACAACTTCTCCCGAGCGCTTCTCCTGGCACGGAGCCCGCTACCAGCGCTGCCTGCTTCGGGCCGCCCAGGTGAGCCCCGCCCCGCCTGAGGAAAGGAAGCTCCCGCCTGCTGATAGCGGGGCTGTAGCCGCGACTCGCCACTGCCCGCGGGGGGAGCTGCGGCTGGCGGGGCGGGGGTAGCGCAGGGCCGCGGCTGCAGCCCTTGCCTGCTCCGGTCCCGTCACGCGCCGGCGGCTGCAGAGGCGGGGCCGGGTGTCCCGGCAGGCCCGGCGGCGCTCTCCTCCCGCTCCGCTCCCGTCACCACCGCGGCTGGACTCACGAAGCCGGGTAACGGGGTGTCCCGTGCCGTACCGTCCCTTACCAGCTGCTCCTTCAGGGCGGAGAGGGGCTTCCAGACGGTGCTCCTTGCTGTGGGCGGACAGGGGCTGCTCTTCTCCGCCCGCCGGGCCGCTGCGGCAATGCCAGGGCGAGCCCGCACCAGCTCGCTGCTTCTCCGCAGCACCTGGAGCTCCTGGAGGCCGGCCAGGGCCGCCTGCAGCCTTTTCTCCCACCGCGCCGCGATCCCAGCTCCCGGCCGCGGGGCGCCCAGCAGCATCGTCAGCGCTGGGCCGCGGCTCGGCCATGGCAGTGGGGCGGCGGGGGAGGCGGCGGGGCTGCTCCCGCCCGGGCCGAGCCTGCGGCGGGGTCTGACCGCCCCGCTCCGCCACTGGCACTCGAGCGAGTGAAGCAGAGTGGGCAGCGGCTCCTGCGTTTTTGGAGAGAGGTGGGGAAGGGGCGGAGAGGGGAGGGCGGGAGCGAAGGGAAGAGGCTGGCTCCAGGGCCAGCCGGGGCCCCTCTCGGGGATGGATAGCGAGGAGGAGCCTGTGCACCGCTTCCCCGCCACCGCAGGGGGCGGCTCCCGCCTGCCCCGTTCCTGCCCCTGCCCGGGGGACTGCTCTCGCCTCTTCCCCCGCCCCGGGGGTGAACAGGGGTCGGGTACCTGCCTTCTCCGGGCAGAGACAGGTCCTGGGGGGCCAGCAGGCAGGTCCGGGGGCAGAGCGCCAGTCCCGGCCGGCAGCGAGCCCCAGGGATGCTGCGGAGATCGGAGCTGAGCCCAGCGTCGTGCTGCAGCCGCGTGCAAGTGGAAGCGATGCGAGGGTATGGTGCTGTGAGCTCCCAGGTATAACAATGCTTCCCTCACAAAAACGTGGCATTTGTAACTCCATCGCTTCTCCTCCTGGCTGGTGGTACCCCCAGCTAGGCACAGCACTGGCACTCCTTATCTTGCTCTCCAGGAACCTGCCCAACTGGGATCTCACTGCACAAGTTTGCTGTCATGTACTGAATTGTTGATTCTCACTTTGGAAGCAAGGCAGAGTCCTGTCTTGAGGTCAAGGTGTGGCTCAGCCCTCTCCCCTGCCCCAAGGTAATATGAAGGGTTTAGGATCTGCTTTAAATGGGACGTGAAAACACAGCCATGGAAATTCAAGGCTACAGTGCTGTTGCTACCAGGTAATGTCAGCATTTAAAGCTCTCAAGACAGGCAGCTGCAGCTTCTTCAGAGGTAGCTGGTTAGCAGGCAGCAAAACCAGAATGTGTAGTCTGTAGTGATGCAGTGGGGGAGAGGAAGCCCTGATACCAAGAGCCTAATGAACACAGTGGAGATCATGCTACAGGAGACTTAATTTTTCTACTACCTGCACTGAACTAGGAAGCATTTGGATCCTACAGATCCCAGGAAAACTCTGTGCCACACTCCTGATTTACATCATTTCAAGAAAGGTGTATGATTCCTCATAAGGCAGTAAGCACATGCACAGCCTATCTGTCTGTGGTTATGTTCTGTTCACCCTGTGTCATATCTTTAAAAGCTGTCATACTTTAATTTGAATGTTACTTGACTTTGTGCTGGGATACAGGACTTTGGGGAGTGGGAACCAGTTGCTCTGTCATCTGTTCTTCAAGGAGCCTCTTCTCAACACCACGTGTGGGTGGCTATGCCCACCACTCAGCACTGTAGCCAGGCTAACTTTCCTTGTAGCAGTCCCTAGCTTTACAAATGTTAAAAGCAGTAGAGTCATGTCAAATCCAGCTCTTGCTGGGGGGAAGAGAGACAAATTATTCCCATGTTTGTTCACCAGGTGCCATGCAACACATTATTTGAGAGTCTCAGTAGAACCCAAGCTTTGCTTTCATAATGTCACTTTCAACAGTTTTTATGTATCTTGAAGATTTGAGAATGATGTTTACCTTGAAAAGTTGAACTATGTCAGAAGGGGTCCAGAGAGGCCCTGTTCTGACATGTTGTGCACAACTAATAACAGATGTCTCCATCTGCAGATGGAACAGGAATGACTGCTGTACAGTGCTTAGTTCAAGTATGTGAGATATGACTTGTATGACATCACCTAAGACGTTTTGTTGGTTTTTTTTTTTTCGTTAATGAGTATACCTCTACTCTTCTTCCTTCCCCATTCATCTCACAGAACTTCCCTGTGCAGAGCAATGCTTCAGTGTCAGGATGACTGAACTATTCATTTACAAGGTGGAAAGAAAAACTGAGTTCAACACCACGATGCTCTTGAAGGTGCTGACAAAAGACAGCATGAAATTCTACCACCTCTCAGATGGAGTGTGGTGAAGAACCAAACAACCATCACTGTATGGCACGTGGCAAGAATCTTGCAAAATGCCGTTGCAGGTATGAGGAGTGAAGCGTTTTTGTAAATCGCTTGGCTTGGCACTTGTTAAAACAGACATACAGTTCCTTATTTTATTCAAACCATGTTCTAACACGACCAAATACAAGTCACTGACAGAACTACCATTTAGTATATACTTGGTAGGAGAATTAGATATTATAAGGTCATATATTTTTTTTTCCCTCTCTTTCCCTTGCATGGAACTGTTATTCCTTGCTCTTTGTTTTTCCTCTTCTTTCATCATTTTATCTTTTTCTTAATGAATTCCCAAATGGGCTATATCACAGCAGTATCTTTATTCTAATCAGCTTCCTTATTATTCCCTCTGTTGTACTGATTACTTTCTTCCCCAGAACCCTTATGATGTCACTTAATCTTTTCAGATAACTCAACAAATATCTTGTGTTATCTGATTTCTGGGGGAAAGAATAAAAGGTGTGAATCGCACCCAAATTTAAAACCATGAGATTATGTGGAGGAGGGGTAGCAGTAAAAGTGAAATTTGCATGGTAGGGACTTAGAAAACTTCTGCTATTCTTAATGACTTACAGATAAGAATGTTCAATATTGATACTCTGTAAAGTTTCACTAGACTTTAAGAATTACTTAAAAAAAGTTAGCAGTCTATAGGTAACACCTTATTTTGCTGTCTAGCTTTAGCACACTGAGTTCAAATGCTTAAACTTTGCTTGCACTTTTCAGGAGCCAAAAGGTTTGACTTTTCATTTATGTTACCTTTTTTCCATTGATTTCTAAAATATTGCTCTGGATTTATGCAAGAATTGGAATAAGATTTCTGTTTTCCACTTGCAGATCCTGAGGTAAATGAAATTTTGCAAAAAGCTGTAGTGAAGGAACAATATGGTTACAAAATCAGACAACAAAACAGTAGGAAATAAACCAATTTGTTTACATAATTGTTATTTTACATTCTGATTTGTATTATATAATTGTATTATATATTTGTATTATATTTGTATTATAATTTGTATTATATAATTACACAGTGTTGTTCTATGGGTATGTTCCTCAATACAGGAACAGTGTGGCCAGCAGGACCAGGGAAGTGATTCTTCCCCTGTGCTCAGCACTGGTGAGGCCACACCTGGAGTACTGTGTCCAGTTCTGGGCCCCTCAGTTCAGGAAGGACATTGAGGTGCTGGAGCAGGTCCAGAGAAGAGCAATGAGGCTGGTGAAGGGACTCGAGCACAAGTCCTATGAGGAGAGGCTGAGGGAGCTGGGTTTGTTCAGCCCGGAGAAGAGGAGGCTGAGGGGAGACCTCATCACTCTTTACAACTCCCTGAAAGGAGGTTGTAGCCAGGTGGGCATCAGTCTTTTCTCCCAGGCAGCTGTCAGTAAGACAAGAGGGCACGGTCTTAAGCTCTGCCAGTGGAGGTTTAGGTTGGACAACAGGAAGAAATTTTTTACGGAGAGAGTGATCAGACATTAGAATGGGCTGCCCAGGGAGGTGGTGGATTCACCATCCCTGGAGGTTTTTAAGATGAGACTGGATGTGGCACTTAGTGCCATGGTCTAGTAACCGCGGTGGTAGTGGATCAAGGGTTGGACTTGATGATCTCAGAGGTCTTTTCCAACCTGCTTAATTTTATGATTCTATTCTATGATTCTATAAGTGTATAGAATGAAAGATACTACTCAATGCCCTCTGTCCTCGCTCTCCAGCCCATGCCTTATTTACTGCAGATCACTTAAATTGTGCACTACAGATAGAATTTTTTGCTTTTTAAAACTAAGCATTCTAGCTATTAAGTGCCTTACAGTGTGAGTGAATGATGTCTTTACAACATCCCAAGAGGTATAAAGCTGGTTTTGTTTAATAAGGGAGGACCTGAGGCACTGAATTTTCTTTCAGACGTGCTTGTTCATTTTGGGTGCCCACTGGAGATGCCTTTGGCCTGATTTTTCTGTGTACTTACTATTATACAGTTAATATATATCCATTTTATTGTTCCAAGCAGAGTTCCCTTTAACTTCAGTTGTAGTTCTGAGCACTCAGCACTTTGGTAAATTGAATACTGGGTATTCTAATTTGAATCACTAGAAAAATGAGGAATACAATTAGTCCTCCTCATATGGAGCCAGCTTGGGTGTGCCTGCACCTGTGGTAGAGATGTGCCTTCAGAGCCTCATAAACTACCAGAAAGGAGGCAGGTGTTATTTACCCTCTTTGGCAGATGGAGATTTAAAAAGAGGTTAACTCTTTTACATAGAATCGAAGAGGAAATCTGTGGTAGGACTTGAAAGTGAAGCCAGATCATTCATGTGACCACAGAAATTACTTTACTCTCTATTTTTTGGATGCATATTAGCTAGTTTGTGTGAGACTATGTTAGGGGAAGGACAATATTTATTGATCTCCAGATGTGTTAAAAGAAAAGTAGTTGAATGTTTGCTTTGGATGAAGTCCAGAGTACACAAAATACTTTGGTATACCAGACAACTTCAAGACCTAATTGCAGTTTGCTTCCCACGTTTGCTTATGTTTTGTTGTGAAAAATAATTCACAGGGTGTTTTGGTAACATTAACTTGTGTAGGATTATGAAGTCTCCCTGCATAGGTTTCAGCCTGTATTTTAGTTGGGTCTTTAGACTGTATTGATATCAGCATGTGTGGCAGTAGGTGAGAAAGGGTCTCTTGACATGACAGAAGTACAGTGCATGCACCAGCATCCTTACTTTGCCAGCCAGCCACTCTGTCCTCTGTGTTGTCCTGTTGTTCTACTTTACAAGCCTTTCGCCATCGATCCTGCTGCGGATCTCATGCAGAGACACTGCCTAAGGCGGTCTTCTGAGCTGTTGACATCTGGTAGATGTTTAGAAGGTTAGTTGGAGGATGCAGTCACATGCGCATTGAGTCAAGTCTAACACAAGCCCGGAATTTTTTGGAAATGTT